CAGCCTGTATAGGTTCTGGCAGGAGGAAGTGCAGATCAAGAATCATGCGAGTTTGAAGGCCTTACAAGAGTGTGCTGTCTTAACTTTTCGCAAGAGAAACACCGGAAGTTGATAGCTATTGAAGGGGCTGCTGTCAAAATTGTGACACCTTATTAGAAAGCTAACGCTTGATGAAGAACTCTAGGATCGTGGAGCTCCACAGTAGAACTATGGTTGGTTCCAGTGAAAAAAGATGGTTTATTCACTTCATACATCTACAATCTATAAATACATACGACTGTTGAATGGACAGCCTACAAACGAATACACTCTCGCCTATTTCGTCTTAAAAATGCATGTGAAAGGTTGCATTGCGTCAATTCACACCTAATGATTATTTAAAAAAAGTTACAATATGCTAATAGAGAAAGTTGTTTACTAGTTTAAATATGCACATCGTACCACATGCCAGAATAATTAGTTTAAGATATCTATACATATATAATGTGAAAAAAATCTAAAATAATTTGACGTGGATGAGTCAAAAGTATGCCTGACTTATTATTTATTTTTGGAGTACAAAGTGAAATTGGTATCACATGTACGGTGCAGTTTTTTTAATGCTTGGCAAAAAAATGTCAGATGTCTCAAAATTGGCATATATTTTTTCTATATACCATTAGAAAATGTGACATCGTTAATGGAATACCATTTGTCTTCTGAAATAATATACATATTATTTATTCATAACAGAAATCTGACATCATACTTGTAAGTATATGTTGGTATTAAATTTCTCTTTGTAAATATTTTGATATTTTGAATAGCATTATGCTTAATTTAAAGAAAAATTCTTTCTCTTTCTCTTTCTATACTCTATCTTTCTCTTCTAGACTACAAGCCCATCGGAAAATTTCAATGGGTCATTAGACCCAGCATGAATTACTTATAAATCAATACTACCACATCTAACAATAGCTTTAGAAACTATACCGTCAATTCTTGTTGGTACAGGTGAGTACTCAGGCAAGCTAAACCTGTCCACCAAGGGGGGTGGTTTTCGGCAAAACATTTTTGTACGGCATTTCTAAAGTATATAGGTTATACAAAAAAAATGAACCTGGACCTAATACCGTACAAAAATAGCAATACCGGAAGCCAGGAAACTTTTTGATTTTCCGAAAATTTTGGCCCGAATTTTGGTGATTTATTACAGTGCGGTATTTATACTGCAAGTTTCGGATCGATACATAAATAAATTTTTAAGCGGCGCCATACGTGCTTGCTGATACAGGGGTTAGGAATACAGGATGCAACCCTGTAAGTACGACATTCATATATTTTGTTAATACTGACAACAACAATCAAGGAAAACAAAATGCCGTAAAATGGTTCTAAATGGCTTGAAATATATTTTTGCAAATAAGTATTACTTGCAAGAATTGATTTTATTTTTACTACTATTTTCTCCTTAATACAAATTATTTATTACTGTACGGCCTTTCTATAATAAGATTTACAATATCATATAGAAATATTTTTCAGTAATGCAGTACATATCTGTCGATACAGGAGTGAGAAACCGCGTATGCAAGAATATAGACCCTTATGGTTTCCGATCACTGAAAAATGGTCGGCATTGTTGCTAAAACATTATTTAAGATGTAAAATAATTTTTGTAAATTTTTGTGTGGTTTTATTCATGTTTATAACCGACAATCTTAAAGTTGTTTTTGGAACAAATGCACTTTTAAATTACTTTTACTAATTTTAAACATTTTTGCATAAATAAATTGTTCAAACAATTGTAACAAAAGTTGTAAATATGCAAATGCAAGGGAACTGTTACTTCAAAACATATATTATATCACTGTTTTAATCGTAAGTATTTATATAGGAATTCTCATGAATATCGAATTAAAATTAATTGTTTATTATTATATTTATTTAAAAATAATACTTTCTTGCACGTCATTAAATTTCTAAATTTCTCAAAATATTTTCTCGATTCTATATACACAATTTTTTTTTAACATAAAGACAATGCCATCATAATTTCTACGGTATAAATTAAATTTCTCTTAATTAGGATAAAACACATTTTGGACTTATACAGTTTCGGAGAATTGTTCCAACAAATATGTATGGCATTGCAATTTTCATTCTTTGTTATATTTCTGATGAAAATTTGTAAATGCTGTATAGTTATTAATGAGCTAAAAATGTAGTAAAAATTTAATGAAAAATAATATCAGCTATGTAAAATCCAGTGGTTAAAAATGTACGGCACTGTTTTATTTATTTTTTTACTTATGAAAAGTCAATTACAGCCATAAGATTTTGAATATAACATTTTTAGTTTATAATAAGGAGAAGGAATTTTCAAAATATTGTAAATTTTCACAATATATTTATTTGTTTTTAATTCGAATTCTTAATTTGTACCATTAATTATAACCGGTCATGATTTAGTACGGTAATTTTTGGTTATATTTTATCAAAAAAGTGGTTGCCGTACAGGAATTAATGATCTTATCCAAAAAAAATCAACTCAATTCCAAAATAACGAGCGTTCAAATAAAAACGTGGTCAAGTTGGTTCTGAAAATTTGGACGTAGGGCGTAGCGTATAGCAAATGAACTTAAACGTTATCTGTCAAAGCGCTATATCGCCGCTATCAATTTGAATATTTTCGTTTTAAAAAGCGTTTAAAATGGTGTTTTCTCAAGAACAAAAAGTGTTTATCATAGAGTCCTACTTTAGAAATGGACGCAAGATGGAATATGGAAGTATTCTATTGAGGAATGTTTCATATAATTTCAAAATCAATTTCTCGGCATTGTTGAGTACAAAATTTTTCAAAGTGCAGTTCAGCGTTGTGTTAATGTTTTTCGTGAAACGGGCAGTGTAACAAGAAAAGAAGGAAGCGGCCGACCTAAAAAGCGGACTGAAGAAATTAAAAGAAAATGTCCAACAAATAATGGAAAATGCGTCAAGAACTTCTGTACGTGTTTTATCACAAATGGTAGGAGTATCAGTCGGTACCTGCCACACAGTGTTAAAAAAAAATTTGCGTTTGTTCTCCTTTAATTGTTTGTTATTGTTATCACGATTATTCTTTAAAATAGTTATATAGTCATTAACGTTATTGAAACTGACAGCTGCTATACAGCTCGTTGAGAAATGAGGTTAAGTTGGTCGCTATAAGCTACTCCCTACGTCCAATGTGTCAGAGCCAACTTCGACCACGTTTTTATTTGAACGCTCGTTACAAGTAATTGTTCATAAACTTTTGCATTAACCATAATTTTCAAACGGCGTAGTTGCTAAGATTTATTTGGAGAGTTAAATAATCATGTTGAATCGATGCCGTACATTTTTCAATGACTTGACACAGTGGGAGCTAAAATAGAGGGTTGCGTCCTACTTTTCTAACCCCTGTATCAGCAGATACGTACGGCGTTATTAAAAAAATTATCTACATATCAATCAGACACTTGCAGTATAAATGTCGTACTGTAGTAAATCACCAAAAACCCGGGCCAAAATGTTCAGAAAATCAAAAATTTTCCTGGATTCCGGTATTGCTAATTTTGTACGGCATTAGGTCGAGGTTAATTTTTTTTGTATAACCTATATACTTTAGAAATGCCATACAAAAATGTTTTGCCGAAAAGAAATTTATGCTGGGTCAAATGACCCCTTGAAAATTTCCGATGGGCTTGTAGTCTATTCTTGACATAAATATAGAAAATTAATGGATTATTGAGCTTCCTTCTGTTTTTTATTAATTGTTTTAAGCAGTAAGCAATTTGTGTGGTTTCAATTTCTTTCTGTGCAAACAAAATTACAGCCGTTATTAAATAACTTCTTCGTTTAGAAACGCTGAACCGAGTACCAAGTTTACTGTGACATTGATCATTATATTTAAACGACTATGTTCCTCTAACGCCCATTTGCATAATTGTCCAACTCATAACATCGAAAATAGGACACCGTACTCTCGCAGCATGAACAATTACGGCGTAATCTTAGCTATCATAACATTAAACCAACTATCACGCTGTGATAAGGCATTGTTCCTGTGGGACAATTTTTAGCAGTGTTTACGGTGTAATTAAGAATCTACTCAAGTTGTCTAACCGGAAAGAGGCACAAATTTTCTCACGCCATACGCCATATAGTGTCTAGGTTCCCAAAGACAAATTGCGGTTTCTAAAAACGACATAAGTAGTCGCACTTACGAGAATGACTTCAGCCTTGAGTGGAATAATTTTTTGTAACTTATATCGTTAATATCAATGAATGGGGTGGATTCTGATGATAATGTAGCACTCGGAAACGCTAGAAATATGATGCAATATTTCGATAGTTAATCGAAAACCTTTATTTTATTATTATTTCTGTGGTGATCTGATTATCCACTATAACCGTTGGTTCATTTTATTGCTCCCTGTAAATTCCTTTCCTTATAAAACGTGTTTTTTGAATAGTTGTAGAGATCTTAAATAACAACAACTAGCACTCTCTCCTGATATAAATGTAATCGGTGAAAGGTTGAAGATTATAGAAACCATTATTGATGTCCTTTACATAAGACCAGAGATTCAAGATGTTACGGAAGCATCGTGTTATTTCAACAAATCTGAATTCCGCATTTAATATGATTGTATTGGTCATATGGTGCTGATAAACATTACGGTGTTAATAAAAAATGCATCTGGAGACTGTTTTTTATAAAAGAAATTTAAAAAGTTAGAGACTGACCACTTTGTAAAGTTAACAATTATATTTTATTTACTTTCAAAGCGTTTCTTTTTAAAAGATTAGATTTTGAAACAAATATTAATTCCTTCATGCTCTTGTCTATTGCCTTCATGGTCATTCATGATTACTTAAAATTTGCAGTAATTTATTTGAAAACCTTTTTTTTTTCAAAATTTATACAGTTATATTCAGATAGATTAAAAGACCATAACGGTTATTGTAAATTTAGGAATTAAGATAGAACAGTACATCACCTGGATCCCAAGATTTTCCTGGACTCTTCCCCATCTGTATCAATGGAATCTTCATTCGACAGAGCAAGGCTAGCTCCGGCGATGAGGAGCAGAACTAACCGCATACCGCTTATCTGAAACAAAAAAATGCACATTATTATGTAAATAAATAAGAAATGAAAACGATTTTGATGAAAGCAGAGCCGGATTAAGAAATAGTGGCGTCCTTGGTCAAAATTCCGGAGGAACCGCTACCTACATCTTTAATGTGTTCCTTCTGACAGTGCTCCTTTGGATTGCTGTCAGTATATGACAAGTTTGTGTACCAGTTCAATAAATTTCTGCTTTTAATTAATTTGTATCGTAATTTCAAATTTCATCAAAGTAAATTTTTGATAAATGTGTAAATATAGTTGTGATCACTTTCTTCCTGCTGTTCTCCATTACATTTGTTTGTGTTTTGCAATTTTGTAAAGTTTGAGACTATCCTATCTTTAAATTAGCTCCACAGGAAATGGTAAAAGGGATTCAAATCGGACGACCAAGGTGGTCAAGTTATTCAAATTTGGTTGGTATTTAGTTACAATTAGTCACTCTTCCCAATTTCCATTCGCAATTTCAAGAATTTTGGCCTTTATTTGAAAGCTGTCGAGTTGTTGGTCTCTCCGAGACAAATTCTTATTATCCAGATAAAAGCGACCAAGCTTGGTTGTAGAACAGATTTCAAAAGTCATCTTGGAACACTCCTATACTCACGGTTTTAGATTAAATGACCTCTTTCTATTGCGCTATGTAACACACCACGTTCAAACCTGATTCGTTTCAATCAGTTCTCCTGTTTGATTGTTATTATCACAAAAACCATTTCATGTTTTCCCTACATTTCAGTTTTTGGGATGACGTCAAAGTCAGTTAATTAATGGAAACAATTTTATTTAATTTCAAATCTGCCTTGTATACATAGGGTGGTTAATAAGCAGGAGGCGAAAAACTAAGGATCTGGTTTAAGCACAAAAGATGAAATACTGAACGAAATACATACTATTGTTACCTATCGGTCTTTGCTATTTAGATATCAAGATTGACAGCTTAAAAAGATAAATTTCAAATTTTACTGCTGTCAACCTTGATATTTGAAAAACGGATATCATTTCGAAAAACTGGAATTTCTGTTTGAGGTTGAATCCTGTTCCAGATCCTTGATCTACCTGTATTAACAGATAAAACGATTCTATTAACACCGCAATATTGTCAGTGCAAAATAGGTTTGGCTGTTCGATAGTCTCATTCTCAATATTTTAATGTAGTATCTAATACTCATAAAAATACTCCTCGTGTCACAGATTCCTTGTAAAAACAAATTAACACTAAGCCCGGTCAATGACTAATTGGTAAAGGCAATAAAGACCGGTGTATTAACCTGTGTTCTAGCACATGTAGGTACACTCATAACAGTAAATAAATAATTTAGGTGTTAAATCCATGTACCTACAACCACTGTGCATATGTTAACAAATGGCGTTTAATTTGCTGATGTAATTATGAAACGCAGCTTTTCGCCTGGTTAAGCTAATGACGAGTACTTACATAAGTGGTAACTGTGAATTGCATCTCGAAAAAATTTCTTCATAAGTGTACCTACTGGTGACTTACTAAATGTATATAGCAATTTTTTTAAAGATTATCAATTAATTAAACATAATATAAACCAAATTATTCAGATTTTATGTTAATTGTTTTAAATTAAATTCGCGAAGGAGCAACTACAATTAAAAATAAATAAATATCTAAAATTTGTAGTAAACATTTAGTTAATTGTTTGGAACAGCTACGTTAGTGAATTATACATTTTTTAGAAAAACATACGCAGGTATTTTATATAAGGTTCTTCAAAAAATTCAGACACGTCTTAAAAATGTATAATTCCCAAAAAAAACAATCAATAAAGAATGTTATATGTAAGGGTTAGGTTTGGTTCCAAATTAATGTATCAATAACTATAAAAATTAGGCTGGTAAGACGGAAACGGTCAGATAATCAGACTAGTCGCAGAAAAAACTCGTCTTGAACTAAGTAGTCCGAGATCTCTACCGCAAAAAAAACGTCCTTTATATTCTAGTAACTAATAGTACTTTTTTTAATACAGTTTTTGTTCTCAATTTACTGTCTTACTGGAGGTTATGTTAGTTTGGGTCAAGTATTACAGAGAATCGACAGATCAGCATTAGGAGCAATTATTGTAGAAACCGACTGATAATGTACTACAAATGTTGACGCACTGAATCCGAATCGAGGGTCAAAATTCCTCCATCACTCTCCATTTTTTTTTAAATTGTGAAAAACTGCCCTTAAATACAGAAAATGTGGAAAATACGATATTTCAAAGCTAGAAATAGTCCAACTTTTCAAAGCTCGGAGACTACAGCAAAGAACAGGGTGAACGATTTTACCAAGATATCAAGGAAATAGTACGTGGGTACTAAGAAAGATGGGATGTTAATATAATGGCAGATTTCTGTTGGATGCTTAAAAGCGGAAAAGAGTTAAAAACACAGAAGAGAAAAATAAATCAGTTGCATAGATAGAAAAGGAAAAAGGAATAGAAGAAACATAATTTTTTATCTGGAAACGATGTTATTTTTCGAATAACTTCATCTTTCTGCGGGCATCAAATTGTTGAAGTTCTATATATCTCTGGGAAAGAATTTTTCTGGTTCTAGGGTTATTTTGCACAGTATAAATATATTGGAGGGCGATAGAGTGATTCCGACTTTGGATTCGGATTCAGAAGGTCAAAATACATATAGATATGGTTCTCCAGTAACTTCCACTCTCTTTTTACAATTGTTCCAAATACTATACCCTCTAGAGTGGGATTTTCCGTATTTAAGGGTTGCTTTTTAGCGATGTAAATAGCTGGGGGGTGATGGAGTAATTCTGAATTCGAATTCAGATGCTACAGTGATTTTCAGTCGGTTTCTATAATAACACCTAATGCCACTCATCCAAAAGCATAATTTTCCATATTTTCTGTATTTAAGGGCGGGTTTTCGTGATTTAAAAAAAATGGAGGGTGAAACAGCAATTCCAGTCCCGGATTCAGATTCAGCGCGTAAAGATGCATAGGGATACATAGGTCTAATATTTGGAACAAACCACTTTTCTATATTTTGTGTGCTTGTCTAACATGCTCAGAACAGAGTAAAAAGTCACTCTCTGAATAGTATGCAGGAACTAAGATTTGAGTAAAACTCACTTCTACCGCAATAGATTCACTCTTAAAATTTCACTAAAAAATTACTCAATCGGGTGTAGATTGATATATTTTTTATTGTGATTTGGTGAAATTTCACTTATTTTTACAAGCTTTTATTTAACTTAACTTGTTAGTATGAGTCAAATCTTGCAACAATACATGTTTAGTTTAGATGACAATGCATGGTTATCTAAGTGACGTCATTCTAAATCCAATATGGCGGACTCCCAAAGATGGGGGACCAGTTATTTTTTATGCACCCCCCCATGATATGGGTATCAAATGAAAGGGATTGCTGAGAAGAATACGAAAATAAAATACGTCACTAAAAGCTTTTTTTTTGAAAAAAAATTTTATACATGAACTTATTTACATTGTAGATACCAATCGTTTAGATTCTCCTCATATGAATTGTCAGGAGAAATACATGCATATATTTACATGTTTGTGATTACATTGCCTTTTTATGAATGTGTAAAAAATGGATTTGACTTGTGTATAAAACGGAGAACATGTGACGAAAAATGTAAGTAATTAAACAGTTTGGACTGATTTTATTTTACTTAAACGATGAAAATGAAGTAAAAACCGAACGTTGTACTACGAATTCGCATCCAACATAAAAAAAAATCTAGGAATTTCTATAGGAACATATTCGTACAAAATTACATCTAGGTTACCTACCTAGTTAACTTTGGATACAATATTATGATTAATTATTATTCATAAAGCTATTGTCTTTTTACGAGGAGCATAACTTTGAAAGGGTTTGGCAATTAGCGTGGGAGAAAATTAAAGCCTATACATGCGTCCAATTTCTTCACTTTCTTCCTTTTGTTTGCCGTAAAATAATAGTGTGAGAGATGATATTATATCACAGTTACAGCAAATGACATCACGAAAATTTTGTAACTTGGGGTATTGTAAATTAATATTTTTAATTAAGAATTTTCGCATGTCCTTTATGTAAAGGGTGTTATCGATGGATTATTAAAATTTGACACAATATTCGGTTAAGTGCACAAATCTATTTGTAAAAAAAAATGTTAATTTATGATATCAAGGCAATTACTGGAGTGTTTTAGTGTGGTGTCTTTCGAAATTTTAATTTTAAAAAATAAAACGTTTAAGTAACCAAGGTCAAAGTAAATATTAATTATTGTTAATATACAGGGTGTTTCAGGATTAAGTCGACAAACTTTAAGGAGATATTCCTCATAAAAAAATAAGAAAAAAATCGAGTATAAATATTTTTCTAGAGACGCTTCATTTTCGAAATATAGGGCGGTAAAGATTTTTTAAAAAATTCGAATTTTTAACTAACTTCTAAATGAAGAAGGCTATTTAAGCCAAATTTGGCATGACACATCTTCTTATAAAATACCATTTTTCCATAGAAGTAAGTCCCGTAAGTAACCAGTGGCGGAATTATGGGGACTCATTAAATTATAAAAAAAAAATAATACGGCCTTACTGAAAATAAAAAATGGTGCTGTTTTTAGATAGAAGAGTTTGTTATTGACATAAACTGTACATTCACTTTTTCCTAACTCTTATAGTTTCATGGCAAAATTGATTTTTCGGACGGCTGCTTCTGGATTCTGTCGATAAACTTTAAAATGAACCTTAACAAAAATTTTCGAGTAGGCTCGAAAGGAACAACCATATTTGGTCCTACGAGAATCCACGGGTGGAACATAGTTTTCGGCATGAATTCCAATGTAACGTATGGTTGGGTGTGTTGGACAACACTATATTTGGTCCATACTTCCTTCCGCATCGGTTAAATGCTGACATGTTTACCGGGTTCAGTGAATGTACACTTTTTACCAATAACAAACTGTTCTATCTAAAAACAGCATCATTTTTTATTTTCAGTAGGGCTGTATTATTTTTTTATAATTTAATGAGTCTAAGTCCCCATAACTCCGCCACTGGTTGCTTGCGGGACTTCTACTTCTATGGAAAAATGGTATCTTATAAGAAGACGTGTCATGCCAAATTTGGCTTAAATAGCCTTCTTGTATTTTTTAAATCTAACGCCCTATATTTCGAAAATGAAGGAAAAAACGTCTCAGGAAAAAAATTTATACTTGATTTTTTTCTTATTTTTTTTATGAGGAATTTCTCCTTAAAGTTTGTCGACTTAATCCTGAAACGCCCTGTATAAATTTTTACAAAAAAAATATTGAAACAAACCTACTCATATTTAATAACAGAAATAGTATATTGTTACACATATTTAGGATTAAAAGTGTTACTTTTGTGTCGAGCAAACTTCTCCTCCTCGTTCTGTTCGCTGTGCCTCTTGGCGAACTCCCGAGAGCCATCGTTTTACTGTTATTCAAACATTACGACCCGCTGTCCGCCTTGCTGTTCTCTGAGGAGGTCGTCGGAATAAACTTAATCGAAAACGAAGTTATGGCAAAACATACATTTATACTGTACGTAACTCCGCTAATAACAAGCTTTAAAAAAATTATAAGTACTATTTTTATTAGTAGAATCACATCCTAAATCTTTTGCTCATAGTTTCCGAACACCCTGTATAATTAATTTTTAGGACATTGATATTATAGAGCATTACTATTATTATCTGATCAATACAATTGCCAAGAGACATTGTGTTTTATATTTCTTGCAGTTTCAAACTGGCTTTAACAATTTGATTTAAACTTGACTATCAGTCGGTAAATAGGAAAATTAAAAACTCGCAGGTATTCAATGAAAGAATCAGCTTTTTGAGGGCTTGTAACAATTTCTCCTGCAAAAGTGGAACTTCATTTGAATGATATTTTGTCCAACGTAATAGCCTCTGCGTGCTATAAAATATAATCAATTCTGGTTAGCGTTGATTACGTGTAATTATATTTTCCAATCGTGATTGGGAGTTTTATATCCTGTCATCATTTTCAGCATTCGAATTATCAGTAATTTAAATATATACGTCAATTGCTATTACCAAATAGCCGCATGAGGTGGATGTGGCATTCTCATAGTGAAATCAAGCGCTTGTGTATGGTTTATAGGTAATAAACAAAACAATGTTAGAAATAAACATTTTCTAATACTATATCTATTATTAAGTTTTAAAACGTTAAAGGTTCTATGTTACTGTCAATTTATACAACTATGGAGGATTTTGGACACTTCACAATATGTTTTCTCTAATTTGCTTTTACAAAAATTATACAGCACTTTTTTGTAATTAGATTATTAGCAATTAACTCTATCTCTATATCTCTATCTCTGTATCTACACTCTTTGCATTATTTTTATATTTATTAATGAATATGGTTCACCTGTAATTGCGACATCATAATTCAAAGCACGAGCAAAAAACTATAATCGTATGTATCCATCAGTAACGTATGCTAGTCAACTTAGCAGACTTGTAAATTTTGCTGCGGTAAGCTTTTTTGTTCGCCGATAACGGTATTTTACTACTTAGTCGTGGGAATTCCGCTTTTTATAAAAATTATTAATTAACTTAATGAAATAGTCCGGATATTTTATTATAAATGTCGTAACACATAAATGAGACCTGATTCTAGATACTGCATTTCATGTATGTGGAATCATCAATTGTCTTATTTAATCAATTCACACAGTACAAAATTTTCTGAATAATTGAATAAAATTATAATAATTTTCAGAGTATTACTGAAAACAAAGCATTTCCTATTAATTAATCAGACTATATTATTTATAGATTGTATTTGTAGTGACTAGTTTTAGATGACTATAATTTGATAATTATAAATGAAATAAATGAAATAATGATGAAATTTATATAAAAATATAATATCAGCAATATGGCTATTCAACTCTCTTTTTGGTCGAGCTGCATTCATGCAAGTATTTAAAATCGAAAAAAATGTAGGTCAAGTCGAAAAACACAGATTCTTTGGGCGAAAATCATATTACTTTCCTGATATATATATAATTATTCATTTAAACGCCTGTTTTTTGCATGTCTTTTGGATGTCTGATACGAACTTTTAAGCTTAGGGTTTGGTAATTTAAAAAATGATACGATTTGGCAAAAGATTTGGTTGTGGCTAAACAATTTTTTGGTTTTAGACTTCTAATCCATTCTTCCATTTATTGAAACCACATATAAGAACAAATAAATAATAAAATAACATTTAAAATAACATTCAATCTTTATAGCAATCTTAATGTAGCTGTTAAACATTATATGTTAATTTATCACCTAAGAATATTATTCTACTGCCTGGGAAATTAAACTAGAGCAAATAGGTTAATAGCTGATATCACATTTTTAAGGAGGTTGCAATATCTCGTCAACCTAGCTCTGGATCAAAATTTTATGCGTGAAAAAAATTAAAGTGAAAAATACCTTGAACTTAAGAACAACAGATTTGAACCACAAGCGTGCACAGAGAAGAGAAGGATGAAAATGGGTATCACAACCCATTTATTTTCCCTCTGTATCTCTGTTTTTTCCGATTAAAATTACAGACAGGATGTGTATGACATAAGTCTATGCAAAACTTCAGGTGAATAACTTGCGGATAATATTATTTATCCACAATCACCTTATAATCGTCTAAAGAGATATTTTATCCGCTAGTGGAATAAAATGACTTTATTTCACTAGTAGAATAATGAAAAAATAATAAACCTATAATAAATCAAATTTAATTTATTTACTTAACATTAATATTTACATTTATATTAATAGACATTTCGTTTTTTGTTTTATCACATTTAATTTCCTTTCCGTTAATAACAATCTTTGTAGCATTGTTGCCATCATTCTCTAAACGCATAACATTTGCCGAAGTTTGTGAAGAATTTACACAAGTTACGGATGTCTCTTCTTGTAAGAAACAGCAATACTTTCCTTGGATTTTCCAATATCAAGTTTGTCAGATATAGACTCCTCCTCACCAAACTTTATGCTACAGAGGCGTTCTTCCATCCACCATACCGTTTGATGGTTGTAAGATCAGCACCTTTATTGGCTAATAAAGTTGTTGAAGTGCGCCTCATACAATGGCCAGTATATGCTTTTGGATTTACGATATTCAGGAATGACGCGACTATTGAGGGTACCTTCGCCAATGTGTTGATTCCAAAAGGCTGAGAAGTACATTTTTGATTGATGTATCTTAAAAATAATCTGTCGTGTATTAGGCGAATTGGGCGCGGAAATATACTTTCTGTATATTTCAACAGCATTCACGCATAATCCTTCTTCTATAATTGTAAATTTTCTTGAAATGCCCGTCTTGGTATCAGGTATTGAAACAAGTAGGTAACTGCCAATGTCCTTCCTGTACGTTACTAATTTTCAAATTAGTCAATTTGCGGCATCGGCAGGCTCCAGAAACCCTCATTATTAGTGCAATCTAAAATAATTCAAAGTTCACTATATACCTAAATCTTTACCTAAAAGGTAAAGAGATATTACCTTAATCATTAAATATTCTTTATCGGAAGCCCCAGTCAAAAATTCTTCAATATTTACTCTTTCCGATACTGCAGCTTTTTTTGTTTTATATCCTCTCGATTCATTCTTCAAATAAGCTTGTTATATTTTCAAATATCTAAGTATATTTTATAGTAGCCTTCAACATCGAATACTTCGACCGCATAGATGAAATTGCATATTTTTTCTTCAAATTTTAAAAAAAATACGATAATGACTTCTTCATTTGTTGTCATTACTCTTCGTTTTTCCCTCCATTCGTTAAATTCGGCGAATACTTTTTCGTAATGTCCCTGGATTTCGCTGGCAATAAATGGAAAATTGTTTCTTGAGCTTCTTCAAAAACATCCACAGGAACACGATTACTTTCTTGCATTTTTACCAAATTCAGATAGAACTGTTGATTAAATAATTGATAATAAACAACGTAGTACCAGTAGCTACCACGTTTCATTGAGTACTAGTAAGAAATATCAAGTCGTATTAAATTCCAATAATTCTGACCCCACAAATACGATTGTGGTGTGACTATGGATAAAACGCTGTATTGCATTCTTGTTTTAATTGCCTTTTATCCACTTAATAATATTAATCGTTCGAACTACGTTCTCGCATTTAAACATTCTTGCGTGAATAAAATGCTACTTAAAACACTTATACAACAACTATTGTCGTTTTCCTGTTTCTTAGTTTTTTACGAGTGTATTCTCTTTTATGTAAGCGTAAGTTTTATTGTACACTTGTAGGTGTACCCTTTTCTATAAATGGGCTTGGCCTATTGGATGTGCAGGTATTTTCATTAAGTAAACCAACTATATTTTTATACATCAGATGTAACTTCATTTTTCCTGTTGCCGCATACATTAATTGACCGAGTCGTCTCCAGGTATGTCAAAAGGAAGTACAACAACAACATCCATAAAGTAACAGATAGAATGGCAGTCACTCGGTCTGACTTGTGTAACTTCCTATCTGTCGGTGCGATCTTTATGGCGATGCAACGGTAAAAAAGTCGTGTGGAATAAATCATGAGATCGAATGATCCATCAAGACGAAATGAAATACTAATAAACGGGTATTAGCTGCTGGCGGCCATTAGTATCACTTTAAAACAATGAGATTGCAGCTTTTGTGTGGATTATGGTCGCGGTCCGTTCGTCCGATGATTTCCTGGAGTTCAGACCGTTAAAGGTAATTTTCTTCCACGCTGTCGGCACTTTCATTTTGTTCTTACCATTTTTGTTTATAAAAAGCTATAATTGCTTTCTTATGGTCCGGTGTCATTGAGTTTTAGATTGAAAAATATATTTTGATACATTTTAATGTGACCTTACAGTCAAGGTTTTCTTTAAAATGCACCGAAAAACTCGTCTACCGTATTTTGTAAAGGGCATTTGACATCCATTCCGAAGAAGAGGATGCGACGGTTACATCGATTTAAGTTTCGTATGTCGGAGAAGAAAATAACAAAAAATTTGTAGTACTAAATGGCCTTTCTGAAAAAACATCTGAAACTCCAAATAATAATTAATTTCATATACCTAACTTTTAAAACGATAATAATATTATATATAATACAATTTAAAATAAACAGCTCCAGAAGATCTTGATAGTAACGTTTATTTAAAAAATACCTTGTTATATTGGACAAATAAGTAGGTATATATTTAAAAGAGAATATTTCTGAACATGCGAACAGTATCAGACCAATTACATTAATAAAACAACAAAATAAAACAGTTTCAATAAAGCATGTTCAGAATTTTTTACATAGTTTCAAATTTCATGAAACTGTTATAATTGGAAGAAATTTAAAAACAGCATAAATAAAAAACAAGATATACAAAACTTAACCTGTTATTACAGTTTGAT